AAATATTATGATAGTTCTTATTTTATTTTATTATCTTATTTTTTATTTTATATATATGATAGTATTGTTTTAAACTTATAGTCATGCCAGGACAAATGTTCCATACACATATGGCCTTTCTTTTGTGGTTTTGTGAATGTAACATGAAATGTAAAACCCTTTGGTCAGGATGGACAAAACAAAGAAGAGATGAAGTTTTATATTGAACTATTCAAGATTTATTAGTTCTAAGCGATAGTTGAAATTCTAGATATGCCTTAAGTTGATGGAAGGTTGTTAGTAAACTGAGGAAATATATATTGTTCTGACAGGTTTCTGGGTGGGTTGAAGAATATAATTGGTGATAAGAAAATAATTTGAGTTGAAGAAAATAATTGTTAGTATAAGCAGTCACTATAACTTGTCCCACAAACCGTGTTAGCACCGGAAGTCAATTATGTCCCCTCACTATACAGCACGATACACATATCACATGGGAAAAAATATTCCACTTTCGTGGCAATAACTGAATAGAAAATATCAAAACCCATTTATGTAGAAAATAAGAGAGACGAGTAATACTAAAATTGTGTAAACGTAGCAACTTACTGTATTTTCATTGAATAAGAGATGATCTTTAAATAGTCATTGTACAACGTACTGAACTAACAAAAAGATAATAAAATATCTTATCAAAACAAAACTTATCAAAAACTATCTTATCAAATAACTCAAAAAGATAAAACAAACTAAACATATAATTCCGAATAACTAACTCGGATATCTCTAAAATTTAAGATTATCTAACAAAACTCCCCCATAATCTTAAATTTCTCCTTCTTCTTTCATTCCGAGTAACTTCCTTAACTTCTGAAATGTTGTTGTCGGCAATGGTTTTGTAAAGATATCAGTCACTTGCTCTTTACTTCCTACGTGTTCGAGCTCCACGCTTCCTTCTTTCACCTTTTCCCTGATGAAATGAAATTGGACGTCGATGTGCTTGCTTCTTTCGTGATTGATTGGATTCTTGGCTAGCTCGATTGCCGACCTGTTGTCTACTCGGATCAACACTTTCTCAGCTTTCATAATTTCCAGTTTGCTTAGCAAGTTTCTAAGCCAAACTGCATGTTGGACACTCCAAGATGCTGCTACATACTCGGCTTCACACGTTGATAGAGCTACGATTGGTTGTTTCTTTGATAGCCAAGTGAAAGCCGAGTTTCCCATGAAGAATACGTACCCAGCTGTGCTTTTCCGATCATCCACATCTCCACACCAATCACTGTCCGAGTACCCAATAAGTCGGTAGTTGTCCGACTTAGTGAAACACAGTCCAAGTGACATCGTCCCCTTCACATACCTTAGTATCCTCTTTAATGCTTTCCAATGAGAATACCTCGGATCCTCCATAAAGCGGCTTGCAATTCCCACACTTAGCATCAG